CTCGAAACGTGAAATATTGTGACAGGATTTAGCACAAGATTTTCGAAGGGTTCTGAGCAAATTTCCACTTTTTCGAGATTCGAATTCTGCTAGGATTTCAAAAATTTCTAATTGAAAAAGAAATTTCTATCTATATTTTGCAGGATTTTGTCAGCTTTCCTCTAGGGTGTCATCAGATTTCTTCGTAGAATCTTTGCACGGTTTGCAGAAGAAAACTGAATGCATAGTGTATTGATCTCGAGACCTTCAGTTTACAAACCAATCAACTTAGATGGCTGAATCGTGCCATGTTAGTATATATAACCATAAGTTTCCATATCCTTGAATTTCGATTGAATGATTAATTTATAATGGAATTTTATCTGAACACAAAGTGTCTCCAAAAATTTTAAACATATAGTATCATTTTAAATATTGTTCTTTCGTTTACAAAATTGCACTATTTTTTATTAATTTCAATTCGATTAAAAAAAGTCTATTCCTAATTTTTTGAAACTTTCATATATTTTCAAAGACAATAGGCAATGTAGGTTTTAAGTTGAAGTTTTCCGACTTCTCTCACCATCCCATTACGAACGTTACCAATCGAGAATAACAGGTGCTAGACTTTCTAGAGTTTTTTTGGAAAATTGATAAAGTTATAGTATTGAAAGATAATCGACATCATTATTTGTGAATTGATTAATATATGTAATAGTGCGTAAGATCTGTTGTAGATATCGTGGATATGTAAAACAGACTTATTTACCAGTTAATTCAATGATTATAATAACAAAAATGTTAAATTAAGAAAAACGAATTAAAAAAAATGAAAAATAATGAGCGAATAACAAGAATGTAAACAAAGAACAGAGTGGTCGTAGAAAAAATAACAAATTTTCTGTTCGAAATGCAGAAATTAGAAAGGTTCTTACTCTAATGTTTGATTGTCCTGCAAAACGACTATAGTCTACAAGAAGTTTTTCACTGTACGTACTTTGTATTAGTTTAATGAGGCTAGAGAACATATGTGATTTCCACATTGCAGACACAAAGGAGCTGCGCTAAAAAGTTTTTTTTAAATACATAATTCAAACTATGAGCAGGTTTTACCAAGTGATTTACCTCTTACTAAAAATAGCCATTGAATAATTCGACAAGTAAATCTATTCACATTAACATGTAGCTTTATGCTTTTGATGTTTACTTTGATTATTCTGTTACATCTGTAGAAAATTTAGTTTTATGTTCTTTTCGATTTGTATGATGGAAGAAATATCCATGTTAAAACAATTTCTAAGCTCAATGAAACGATAATGTGACAATCACTAATTCAGAAAAAGAATAAATTATTAGAAAAGAAGAGGAAGACTTTCTATATAACAGAAGAGTGATTTCAATTACAATGGATTCAAAAAATTTGTTTTGATTTTTTCAATATACTAATCATTTTCAGTTAACATTAAAAAAAAAATTTTTTACCTTGTTGAAAACAAAGATTAATGATAGGATGAATAAAAATCAATCGATATTATTCATTTTGGATGTGGATGTAGTAAGACTATAGCGGTAGTCATCAACGACATTCGCATCCTCTTGTGGTAAAATAATCTCATCTGGAAATAAGAATACAGCAGCAAGGTTTCATTTTGACTGGTGCTATATTTTGCAACATGACAATTCTTCATCATATACATCACATGTCGTTTATTCTAATTTAATACTCATAATTTTCATAAATTTATATTTCTCATTCAAGAAGAAATACGAAAATTATTTACTAGTTTTTACTAGATTGTGAACGATTTGCTTGTTGTGCACTTTGAGATACTTTACTTTCATATGAAGAAGTTAGAGAAAAATTTAAACGAGCTTTCAAATGGTTAATTTCATATTTTTCAATAGTTTTGATTGTATATCATTCTTTATAATAGAATAGACATCCATTATATGTACACTAGCTCATTAATAAATTTTGTATCGTTAGGTTAGAAAATGATTCTCACTGATGAATTGCTCCAATTAATATTGTAATCCTCACAATATCAATTCAACTTCATTTATTCAAAATATCATTTTAATTCTTGAAGACAAGTGATTCTGCCAAGAAGAACTTTTTCTCATACAATTGCTGTTTTCATGTGAAAATTCATGTGTTTATACAAAGGAAACTATATAGAATTAGATTAGTGGATCTTATAAATATGGTATATGTAGCGATATATTTTATTTAGAGATAATTCATAGCTATGATGATTTAACTTTACAATACTCTTCTATGTAGTTCATGAACTTTTATTGCGACAATTTCACCGTGAGCCTGACGAAAGATAGAACGAAATGGAGAGTACAGCCGTGAAGTTCGACAAAAATGTCACAGAAAAGGAGGCTAGGTTATATTAACAAGTGTCTACTTTCTTTTAACAATTACGTGTTTCGATCGATCGCTTCTTTCTCTAACACATTTAACGTATCTGAAAAGATTATGTGAATCAGAGGAGAAGAAGAATATAAGTGAACATTTGAACAAGTGAGACAAACCAGAACAGAAAACATAGATGAATGTTGAAGAGATAGTAGAAGAAATAGAGTGTGATGTATGCGTTTCGAGATAGAACGCAATGAGAAGATGAATGAGTTTAGCAGAAAGACAGAACATACGAGTGAAAAAGAGTGTAGAATATGAAATTGAAGGTGAAGCGTGACTCCAGTACTATAAAGTGCTGAAGTCGTGCTTTGTTCTCTTTGAGGATATGTGTTTAGTTGATGAAGTCTATAGACGATAAAAAGCAACAGAAGATACGGATTAGAATAGAAAGACTTTCAAGCACATTTCGTGCTTAAATATACTTTAAATAAAGAAAATATTCAAGTATACGAGTTGACTCTATGTTAATTCTGCCGTTTACCATATATGATAAATGGGCACGAATTTTTTCTTACGAACGATAATATTCAGTTAGTTCTTGGATTTCATTTACATTTAAGACAAACGAAACAACGAACAAGAAAATCTATATCACTTCAATGAATAGTCAATCTATGTAGCAAATCATCAAAAAGAATAACCATTTGTATTGAATTCATTCTCATAAATCTCATTATATTTTATAATATGGAAAAATCTTCATTGAATCAATAGCTAATCTAGTCTCACACCAATTAATCAACTGCATTGAGTATGAAAGAAATTTTCGAAATTTATCATATATGTCACATAATACAATGACAGCATGAAGTCACAATCACAGTTTTTCGTCCGGAACTCCATTTTTCATACAATGCCATCTCCCCTCTTCAAAAATGGCATCATTCGATAGAAAATGAAATTCTGCATCTAACACAACTAATCAGAGAATAAACCAAGCCCAGAAGCGAATGCCAACAATAAGCACTTGAAACTGTTGTTAACTTTTCTTATGTCAAAATCGAGAGTTTGTTTTGTTGAAACGATTGATATCATTCATACGAATAAAGGATTAAATGAAGTTATTTTTTTTTTTTGAAAACAATATTGTTTTTTGCGAAAGCAATTATTGGAAACTGGAGATTTAAAATCTTGAAAACAAATCTTTTTTTTGAGTGTCAATGCAATATTGATTAATTGTTTTATTTTCAAATAAATCTTTCATATACAGACGAAATTATATGAGATACTCTTAAGAACTAATTTTCAACTATGTAATGATGACGAATATCATATTTTCACTGATATGACAGTATTTTGCGTATAGTTTTTCGATTAATATCTTCAGTTGAAATATGATCTATTTTGATTTAAAATAAAACTTATTTATTTGACAAAAATTTATCTTAAGCCTATTGTTTTTGTTTTGTATTCTTCAAAGAGAAAAATAATCAAACGCTTATTTTTTCGTGACTAGTCTTGTCAACAGGTATCAAGAACAATATTCTCTATATAAAGGATATCTTTTATAATTAAACACACTTTTCTGCTAGAGCAACATAGACATGTTGATCTTCTCTACCGCGATCGTGCTAATTACGTTTGCTTCCATTGTTAGTGGACATACATTACAACATATTGAAAACGGTAAAATATGTACTGGTTTCCAAAGTATTTCTGGTTCATCAGTTAGTATTGATACAACACCATGTTCAGGTAGTCTTGGTTATGAATTAGTTCAAGTTTCTGGCATTTTTGCAATACGTTTCTGTTGCCCATATCGACCAGTGGACCCGCCCATTGTTGGACCTGCACCGAGTGGATGTGGTCGTGCAGCAGTTGCTCCAGTACGTACACGAATTGTCGGTGGACAAGAAGCAGCACCACACTCCTGGCCTTGGCTTGTTTCTCTTCAATATCATGGAAATCATTTTTGTGGTGGCACTTTACTTGTAAATAATAACATATTATGAAAAATCAAATATATAATATCATATTTTAGGATGAAAATCACGTTTTAACTGCCGCTCATTGTCTTCAAGATAAATCAATGTTTAATTCAAACTTTAAGATTGTAGCCGGTCTTCATGCACGAAGTAGACCAAATGAAGCACAAGTTCAACATAAACAAATTGCAAGCTTAACGAATCATGGAGGATATAATGAACGTACACAGGAAAATGATATTGCTATTATTCGTTTAGCTTCACCTGTTCAACTCGGTAGATATGTCAATGTTGCTTGTCTTCCAGAAAAAGATCCTGCTGTGCACGAAAATGTTATGATTGGTATGTAAACTAACATAATTTACAAAAGAATTTATTTATTGAAATCGAATCATTTAGCTGGTTGGGGTACCACAACATTTGGAGGCGGTTCACCAGATCCACTTCATCAAGCTGATGTTCTTATCACGGATACATGCGGAGGAGTCTACAATTATGATAAACAGAAACAACTGTGTGCTGGTAATCATGAATTTTCAAAGGATACATGCCAAGGTGATTCTGGTGGTCCACTTATGCATGAAGTTGATGGTAAATGGGCAATTAGTGGTATTGTTAGCTACGGTCATGAATGTGCTAAAGAAAATTATCATGGTGTTTATGCTCGTGTTAGCCATTATCTACCATGGATTAGAGAGACAATTGCTAAGTTATCAGCGCAGTAAATACTTGATAATATGATATAAAAAGCATATTTTAATAATAATAAAATCTTTATCAGTTAATTGTGCATGACGCTATGTTGTGCCAAAATATCTTTTATGGATTAAATATATATAAGATTAAAATTTTTCTTTATGATCATCATTTAGATATTATCAGATGTAAAGGGATACAAAAATTTAAAACAAAATATTTTGATCGTACCCTTTCGATGCATTCTATATCAAAAGATAACTGAAATAATTAACCAGCTGACAAATAAAAGCATTAGTTTTGTTTTATTAATATGAAGCTACTGTTAATTCATTCAATTTATTTCATGTTTCAATTGATAGCTTTTCTTGAACTCTATTCAACGAAATCAAATATGATTCCCAAAAATGTCAGTGTACCACACTTGGTCACGATCAAGATTTGCCGAGCTGAGGCATCGATGAAAAAAAAAATTAAAGTTTTTCCTATATGTTTCGTTTGTCGCATTTTAGTAATAGGTAAGTGCTTTACATGATAGAGGTCGGTCGTGTTTAACTCTCTTTCGATAAAAGTAATTTTCTAAGTCTTGGTACGTATCTCATTTCTATAGATACCTATCACATTATATTGCATGTAAATAGTCTTGATGTAATATCGATCGATAAAGTTGAGACTTCTCAACAGTAGACTTGGCTTCTGTTTATGAGTATTTACGATTAAAAAACGGGAAATTTACGCTCCGCTTACGAACACTGGGCCAATACGTCTGTTAACCATGCAGTTCTATAATCACTCAGTATAGGGTCCGAACACATTCCGCTGATGGTACAGATCAGATAATGACCGTAAAATTGCATCCACTCATACGGCATACTATGCTCGGTTCACGAACCGTAAATGGCATTCATTTTAATCGACCTGGGTAATAATAAGCTGTTTCTCGAAAGAACTAGTTGTTTAATGGAAATGTTAAACAAACCAGATCTTCACTGATCGAATTCTGTGTTTGAGCCGGCCGGTTATCGACTGGTCCTCTGTCGGTTGAAATAATTAAAATGGGTTTCAAGTCTGACGTAAAGTAAACTCACATAAGAAAATGGGGCTATATCTTTTATCTTTAACCAAGTTATATGTAACGAGAAAGTACAAAACTCAGCGTATCGTATAGTATATTCGTTGCGAACAAATAATAAATTTCAAAAGCATAAAATTGCACCAAAAAGAAACTGGTATATCCTTCTTCAGTCTACGTTCAAAGCTCGTTCATTATAAAGCAAATTTATATCCTTATCATACGGACAAGTCATAATAAGTTTAAATTCTGTATATGTTATACGATAATTTATGATGTACACTAGAACTATATACACAGCGACGGCTTGAAATTCAACATCACCAGAAAATGATGAAAATACTTCGAAGGATGCAAGTGCAGATACTGAATGGTGTTGTTTTTTTTTCCACAACAATCACTTGTGCAAGTTACTCTAGTGTTGTAGATATTTTCTTTTTTTCTTTTTCTCTTCCATATTATTAGGACTATTGGATTGACAATTTTCGTTTTCTGTAAGTTACAATCGTCAAAAACAAATGCTACATAAGAAAAGAATGAAATAAGATTTTCGGCGTTTTTTTGTAATTTATATCAATCTGAAATGAAATATGTTAAAAAATAATCTTATCAATCTATTCTTCATTCAGATGCAATACATACATACAAATATAAAAATCATCGAAATGTCAGTAAATAAAGAAGCAAACAAGAAAAGAAAAAAAAACACTTCCAAAATTAAAGAGAAAAAAACAATGCTTTTTTATGTACACTAATACAAGTGTTGTGGAAGCATGAGTCTATTTGAAATAGACTTTATTTTCAATTTGTCATAGACAAAACAATTTCAGGGGCGTGATGGAGAAAAAACCTTGAAAAAATGTATGAGAAATCCTCTAAAAGGTAAAGTGATAGACATACAAATTTAAAACAGTGTAGGAGACATGCGGAACCTTTTTTTTCTCACGCAATAGCTTTGATTTCAATAAAAGAATCAATATTTGCTGAAAAAACAAATAAAAAATTTCTAAATATAGGAAAGGAGTGCGTCTTCGATTGTCATTGCCTTACTTTATTATCTCACTCATATTCTTAGATATAGTGCTTCATAAATATCAATTGTAAACTGATGTATGTTACTACAGATACAAGAAACAATTCGTTTGAGTCAAACTGCAATTTGCCCGAGAAAACATCTTACCTTTTTTTCTTATATAGCTTTTCTAATTTTCTTCTTTGTTCAAAGCGAATATATTCTCAAATGCAGTGTATTTTGTACTTTCTCGATACATATATTTAATACGCTCAAAAAAACTAATACGAAGTATTATAATAAAAATATAAAAACAAAATACTGAGGAAAAAATTTAATTGTTTTTCTTTATGATAGAAATCAAATCAAAATAGATTAAATACCTTCAACGAGTCGACAAACGAAACAAAAAAACCAAGAAATGTCAATTTATAATATAAGAAGAAAAAAAAGGTTTGTTTGTTATCATTCGAATAATTTACAAAATTCATCAAATGAAAGTTGTCCATCGTTACTTGTATCTAATGAGCCAAGCATTGATTGAAGTTCAGTTTTACTTAATTGTTTTCCCATACGCGAGAAAACTTGTTGAAGTTCATCAGGTGTTATATAACCACTTCCATCTCTATCAAATTTTTTAAATGCATCTAATAATTCATGTCTAGAATATTTTTTAAAAAATGATCGTGCCATACAATTTTTAAATTCTTCAAAGTCAATGTCACCACTATTATTCCTATCCATTTGTTTCAATAAGGTTTCTGCTTCTTTACGACTTGCTTTTATATTCAATGCTTTTAAGACTCCTTCTAATTCGCTTGAGGAAATTCTTCCTGAATGATCTAAAAATTTAAAACAAAAATCATTTTTAATCTTGGGATTTTTATCATTGTACATACCTTTATCAAAAAGATCGAATGCATCCCGCAATTCACGTTCCTGATTTGGTGGAAGTTTAGCCATAATTGAAGTTTTGAAACAGTTGTTTTTCTCTCAAATAAATTCAACATCATTTCGTCTTTTAAATTCTCTTTTTTTTCTCTGTTCTTTGTTTGTTGACAGAATTTTTCGAAGAAAAAGTCCACCTTTCTCGGTTGTTATTCTCTAGACTAGAAGAAAATTTAAAAAAAAAAGAAAAATAATAAATTCTTATGGTTATAAATAGAGAGAAGAAAGTAAAAACAATTAAAATCGTCATAAAGTATGTCTTTTCTTTACTCTTGGATTTTTACTTTCAATCTTATTAAAATTTCTGTAATACATTATCAATAAGAAGATTCTTCAAAGAATGCTTTAATAATCAGTAATGAGCAATGAAGGAAGTAACTTATGATTAAAAGAACAAAAAAAAATCATATATCAATGTTAATTGAAGATTTTCATCGTTACATTATGAACTCTTCTAATAAAAGATTATTCATTAGTTTTAATAGTCAAATATTTATCAATATGATTAATAAAATCAAATGATTCATGAAAGTAAAAACATTCTCCATGAATACCACAGTGATAAAAATATTACACAAATAAAATGACTAATGATTAACTTGAAGTAACAACTATGAACCATAAAAAGATTTTATTGTTTTCTTTTTTCTTCATAGTAACGCATACGATATTTGATAAGCACGACGAATCATCTATAACATGTCTCGTCTATAACTGTTTCTTAATGATTAATGAATAAGTATAAATTGCTCAATCAAGCAAGAATATATATTTTTTTTCTCATTCATCATCATTTTAGGTTTTCAACAAGCATAATAATGTGCGATAGAAATGTTTGAACATTCAACGGCTATTCTTTTAAAATAGACATACAAATAAACTTGTGATGTAATGTAGAAATGTATATAGACATAAATTATCAATTAAACTGTATTTGAATTATGATAGATTATTTTAAAATAAAGATACCGGTCTAGCTGTTTTTTGTTAATTTTAATATGCACATCCAATTAATCATTTATTGTTATATCATACGTATATTTTAGGACAGAGAAGAAAATGGAAATCAAATGTATAGAAATATATAATAAAGAAACTACACATGTGCTCCTGTTGAAGATTATTATATTAGATAGTAATGTTATTCTTTTAGAATGTAGCTATTCTTCAAGGAATATCTAATTTAGTAGTTCTAATTTAATTACGAAAGACTTTTATTTGCAACATAAAAATGAATTTTTGTTTTACTTGACCTAGTCTTCTCCATGAGAATTTTATTTTTATTTTTATGATAAAAAAAGAACAAAATAAATCATTCTATTTCCTAGAAAAAAAAAACGAAGACGGACCAGACTAAAGATCTTTCACTGTTGTTGTTTTTGCACTATCTCGTGCTTTTGCAATATTTCGTTGTAATTCTAAATGTTCAAGTCTTTTTTTAGCACTTCGTTCTCGAAATAGATCTGTTACAGAAACAGGTTGAACGCCTGAAAAAAAACAAAATCATAAATCAATTCTAATAACAAAAAACGAATAACAACAACAATCAACCTTCTTGTTCTTTTTTTCTTTCATATAATGTATTATATGTAACAATAATTGAAACAAATAAAACTGATGCCAGAATAATAGCATAACGTTGTGGCATTTTTTCAGGATCAGCTAAAAAAGCTCGTCGTAGCCGTCGACGTAAATTGTCATTGATTTGTTTAAAAATTTGAAATCCCATATCTAAAATAATTAATGAACAAAAATCCAAATTCTAACTTTATACTTTATTTTTATTTGTTTTGTTTACAATCAAATCAATTATATTATTATTGTTCATATGCAATTCAAATCTAATATCATTTAAAGAAATCAAATTCTTATAATTCTGTATTATTTCTTTGTTTTTTTTCACACACGCATTATGGATTTTAATGTTGTTTTTAACAGAAAAATGCCTTAGCTAACGCGCAAAAGAAAAAAATCGAGTATGAAGAAGAAAACAAAACGACTATAAACAAACAAACACACATAAACAATCCTAGAGAAAAAGAATTTGAATAATAACGAAGAAAAACAGAAAAACCAAAATAGGACGCTTTTCATTATTATCATCATCATTATTGTTTCATATATATATATACACATGTAATTGTGAGTAAAGAATAAGTGTTATGTCGACGGAGTATAATGGATTGTTTTCTTTTAAGAGCACAAACGAAAAAAAAAAATAAAAAAAAAACAAAAAAAAGAACTCCGTGAGCGATTATTTCATATAGACAAATTATAAATAAATAGAATTAGAAGCGAAAGAAAAAAAAACAACAACACATAAACAGAAATAAAGAGATTTAATTCGTACAAGCTCGAAATTAGAATTTATAGAATCGTAGGAAAATGCCGTTGATTTTTGTGTTATTGAGACAGAAGAAATTGAGAAAGACCTGACGATCAAGTCAAGGGTGAACGTTCTAATGAACCTTCACGACTATTATTGTCTTTTTGTCGACTGTTTATATTATCCACTTTGTAACGACGACGCCTAAAACAAATCAACAATTTTATACACATTATTTGTTAGTCATTTTACGAGAAAACCTTCACAACTTGATAATCGCTTTTAAATTCGAATCATGTACATAAGATAGATTCTAGAGATAGAACCGGTCTGGACTTTTCACAACCGGTATCGACTTGAATGATACTAATGAGGAGAGGTTCCCAAATGATAAATCGTTTTTTAAGCTGAAACTATATTTAATCGATACAGTTTAATGAGTAAGTAATCATTTCAAAGTGGTTTGAGCTGTTGGCTCTTTATTGCTGAGATATCAAAATTTTTAGTCGATTTTTTCTGTAGGGTGTTAATTTTCAAGAAAAATTAGGCTTTTGAATTTTGACGTGAAACTTGGCCTACATAAAGACATAGACTAGACTAGTAGAAAAAGTTTAAAATTTTTTAGGAAGCCTTTCCAAGATGTAAAATTATTAAATATAGGCGTATTGCTATGACTAATTGTAAAAAAAATATACAGATATTTTGAAAGATTCATATTTCGGAGATACTTGCCCAAAAAGTTCTGAAATTTTTCCTACAAATCAATCTGATCGGTACAATTTATATAGGCGAAATTTCAGGTCGCATTTCATAATTATGATTTCGCTTGAAAACTGATACCCTAGAGGAAAAATTCACCAAACATTCGAAATCTCAACAACAAAGACTCAGTGCCTCGAATTACTCTAGGATATTTACATACTTACTAGGCTCTATTGATTGAATATAGTCCCAGCTTGAAAACGATTTATCATTTGGTAACCTTTCCTTGTAAGAGCAAAACAATTAATAAGACACATCAGTAACCGATACTGATCCTATCTCAGATAAACCCCAGTGCTGTATGAAAAATCTCAAATGCATAAGGACTCCCGACGTTTTCTCTTCAAACCTCTAGCCGTTTTACTGACATTTTAGCTTATAGCACCGTATGCACAAAAGAATCAAATGATAATATTTTGATTTGAGATTTTCAGAAAAGTACTATAAGCTAACATTTCAGTAAAATGGCTATAGCTTTGTAACAAGGGCCTAGAAACTCTTATGCATTTGCGATTTTAAAAACTTCATCATAATTTACTATATTTTCAGGGTTCGAACTGAAAACAAATTTTCAAATTAGAAAGAGTCTCTCGTCAGTTAATCTATGTTATATTATTTCTCAAAAAGATATTTTTAGTTCTTGATTTTGAAGACTTGATTTCAAGATAAGATTGTCACATGTGTAGAAGATCAATATAAGATAGAATAAGACGTTGGCAGATGTAAACAGAAATGCGTAAAAAGAAATAAAATTATCTCCCAATTGCTTGATTATGTATCATGTCTCAAACAAAATTCGATGAAAGACAATAGATATCAATGAAAAAAAATACACATACTTATCTCAAAAGTAAACATAGATAATAAGTACACGCATTTGCTTTATAATTTTTTTCTAACACTTCATTATTATGTAAATAAAATCTTATTCAAAAAATTATTCTCATTTTAAATGACGATTATATTCTAGAAACAAACAATCACAAAAATATTCTCTTCTATGTAATCTACAAACATTCCTACATGTAATCAAAAATTCCAAGAAAAGAATCTTTTCTGTTTCCTTATAAATGCCCTCGACTTTGTTCTATGAATTTTATAATCTAAACTGACACAAGGATTCGATCAACATATTTATTATCTTGTTCAAAAATTATAATATACCTTGCATTCTGACTGGGTATGCCAGGCGGTGGTTTAGGTAAATGACTAACAGTTGATGAACTAGATACATCATCAAGTAATAAATTATTACTTGATGATGAATGTTGTAAAGATTGTTGACGACGTTGAAAATCTGTAAGTCCACTTATTTGATTATGTTGTTCAATACCTGCATGACTTGATGAATTTCCAAGCATACTACCCACAATTGATGTTGGATTATTAGTACCATTATTATTTTGATAATAAAATGATGATGAATAATAAGGATAAAGATTATTATTATTATTATTATTATTATTATTTGTTGATGTTGCTACTGTGGACGGATTTGTATTTTGACTTGAGCGATTTGCCGGTGATGTTGATTGCTGTTGATAATATACATGATGTGTATTTGTTGTTGAAGCTGATGGTGTTTCAAATAAATCTTTATAAGATTTACTACGTTGCATACGATCAGCTAAATTAGTTGTTGTAGTTGTTGATTGTTTATGAAGTTGTGAAGTTGAAGCTAGATTTGGTCTTGATGTTATTTGTTGTGTTTGTCGATTCATAAGATTATTTAATGTTTTATTGGTGGACGGAATTACTGATGATTGTTGAAGTGATGAACGACGAGAAGAATTTGTTGATTGATAATAACCATTATTATTATTATTATTATTGTTATTATTATTATTAGATGATGCGGATGATGAATTTTTTTCATAAAACATTAATTTTCTATAAAAATCATCACCACGATGATTTTCAAATGTCG